TTTACACGAGTTGATGAAGTAAATAACTTACCTACTTCTACTATATCTACTATTACGGTGGACAATAATGACATCTGCGCTAACAAAAAGAAAAACAAATAGCAACAATAACAATTGGGGTAATACTTATAATAGGCTTTTTCTATCTCTCGGAATCACTAAATCATTTTTAAAAGGACATTCATATATACTAAATCCTGCGTCTTCATTTTTATTGCCAAATACTTTTTCTTTTACTATTTTTTTCGGTGCTTGCACGTCTTTTTTTTAAACATATTTATTACATCTGGCAACCTACTTACTATAATTCGTAACTTTAGTATTGTCTATCTAATTATGATCATTATAAATGTTGTCGCTTTTATTGTTGTCGTTGTTGTTGTTGTTATTGTTGTTGTTGATTTTATTGCTGTTGTTCATTGTTGTTTGTTATTGTTGTTTTTATTGTTGTTATTGTTGTTGTCGTTATTGTTGTTATTGTTGTTGTTGGTTTTATTGCTGTTGTTCTTATTGTTTATTTTATGACCTCTATTTGTTACAGTATTTATTCATTAATTGTTAACATTATCATTTATATTCATTTTAATTCTTCTTCTAATAATTACCACAACCATGATTCTTTCTATTTATTTTCGATATTACTATTACTATATAGTCGTTATTCTTCATATCATATGTATCATTATTACTGCTATTACTATCATCATTATTAGCATTATGATCATCATTACTATATCATTACCATTATCATTATCATTATCATCATCATTATTATTGCTATTATCATTATTATTTATGGATTATGATTATGATGATATTATCATTATTATTATTCGTTATCATCATTATGGAATATATCTATAATATGATCTTTTGATATTTGTTATCATTACTGATTGTTACTATCGATATTATTTATCATCATCAATTTTATTATCATCATCATTTCATCATCACCATCATTACCATTATCATGATATCATAATCAGTTATTTGTTATTTTTTTCAGGTATTACTATCATTAATATTATCATTAATTGTTATTATTATTATTATTTATAACGATTATCTTTATCATATTTTGTTATTTGTTATTTTCTTTATTGTTTCTGTTATTAATATATTATAATATCATTATTGTAGATATCATTATCATCCCACTTATCAATATCATTACTATTGTTATTATCATTATAACCATTCTCAATAGTCCTCATCATTACTAAAATCATCATTATTATCATTGCGATTGCCAGTATTACTATTAGAATCAATGCGATTATTATTGTTACTCTTCGCATCACAATTGCTGTCATTGTTATATCCATTATCCTTTCATTGTGATTATTGTTCTTGTTTTGTTTTGGTATATTTACATTTCGTGCCTGAATTCCGCTTCCATGTTGGAGTTATATTTTGATTGTTTAATTTGATTTATTTACTTTAATACGTGTTTTATTCGTTGCTTTATAAGTGTTACGTTTTATTTTGATTTACTTTACTACGAATATATGGATTAATATTCCATATGACTGCGGACTTGAAAGTTCATTCATTTCGGTGTAAAAAGGGTCGGTGATTCACAACATGGATATTAAAGAAATGACACGCACACTCCCTTGCATCCTATTACGAATCTCTGATAATTCTTTTCCAATTCTATTACTGTCATTATCGTTGTCATTATTATTGTTATTATTGTTATCATTATTGTATATGATATTATCGATATTTGTGTATTGTTATTGTTTTTTTACCATTACCCATTATCCTCCTCCTCCTCATCATCATCATCATCATCATCATCATCATTATCTTTACTATCATCATCATTATTAATGTTGTTATTATCATTATTATTATTGTTAATACTATTATCATGATTATCATAATCATTATTACTATTATGATCGATGTTATCATTATTATCGTAATTATCATCAACATTATCATCATGTGCTATTGTTATCATTATCCTTCGATTATAAACATTTTACACTATCCGAGGAAACGAAAGAAGGAAGGGAAAGGGAGGCGAGGAGAGAACAGAGGGAGAAAGGAAGAGTAAGTGGAAAGAGGGAGAAAGGGAGAGGAAGAGAGAAACATGGAAAGGGAAAGAGGGAGAAAGGTAGAGGGAGAGGGAAACATGGAAGTGGAAAGAGGGAGAATGGTAGAGGGAGAGGGAAACATGGAAGTGGAAACAGAAGGAGAAAGGTAGAGGAAAAGAGGCTTAGAGAGAAAAGAGAGAAAACGACTATGAAACGGGAAGAGGGGGGACTTAAAGAGGAAAGAACAGGAGAACCCAGAGAATAAAAAAAAAGGAGATAGGGGAGGAGGAGAGAAGAGAATAAGGGAGCAAGGAAGATTGGGAATGGGGGAGAAGTTAAAGGAAGAAAGGAGGGAAGTGGGAGAGAACACGTAAAGCTTGAAATAAAATGGGAAGAGTTAATTTAAGGGAGATTTTGGGAAGCAGGAAAGGAAGAGGTAAAATAGACGGGAAGGAAAAGTGAGAAGGAAAGGGAAGAGGAGATACAAGAAGAACAAAAATCATTGTTATTATCAATTAAGTTTCATTTATCATTCTCATTATTAGCACTTTGTTAATTATCACAATCCTTACAAATACTATTCTTATAGTGTTAGGTTTATTATCATCACCATTATTATTGTTGTTGCTGTTGCTGTAATTACTATCATGATCATTATTATTATTATTATCAACTCTATTCCTATCTTTATCATTATCATTATTATTATTAACATCATCATCATCGTCATCATCATCATCATCATCATCATCATTATCATTATCATTATTATTATCATTATTATCATTTTCATTATTATTGTTATCGTTATCATTATCATTAGTTTTTTACCATTATTTCATTTCAATTATTATTACTATTATTTCAATTATTATTTATTATTATTATCATTATCATTATTGCCATTTTCAGAATCATAACCACTATCATTACCATCATTATCTTCATTATTGTTATCATTATTCTTATCACGATGATAATGATAAGGATTATCATTATCCTCATTATTAGTTTTTTAATCATCATTATTTGTTTCATCATTATCATCATCATTATTATCCTAAATGTTATTATTATTATTATTATCATTATCATTATCATAAGTATCATTATCATCATAGTTATTTTCATCACCATCATCATTATCATCATCTTTATTATCATCATTATTATTAGTTTAATTATTATTATTATCATATTGCAGAGGTTCTCAACCTTTATTGGTTAGTGGCGCATAATAATACGTATTATTATTATTATTGTTGTTATTATTATTATTCATTATTATTATTATTATTAATATTATTATTATATTATTAGCACGTATTATTATTATTATTATTTATCATTATCACTATTATTGTTATTATCATTATTATAATAATTACTACAACTTCTATTATCATTACAATTACCATTGTTATTACCAATATTATTATAGATGTTTTTATTACCAAATATATAAATGAATTACTGAACACATGGGAATGAAATACATCCATTCCAGTTGTAGATTAAACTTACATGATTAATGTGACACTTATGCCTGTCTGGATTTGCATATTCTTTCGATGTTATGAGGGACACTGGAAAATAAAATAATTATGAAAATAAGGCGGCCAGATGCAAGGCACAGATTTAAGACATATTGTAATATTATATTAAGTATGGCGACTGTTTTTCGTATTATTTTCAATGTCATTGTCACTGTCATTATTATTATCATTATATTTAACGTTACAATTATTTTTACCATTTACATTATCATTATCATTTGTTACTGTAATTATTATTATCATCATTATTATTATTGTTTCAGCTACTGTAATTATCATTATTATTTTCATCATAATTATTATCACATTTTTATCATTATATTCATTATCAGTAGTAGTAGTATTTTTTCTATTATGATTATTACTACTATTAATTATAATAGTAATAGCAGTAATAATATTTTATAACAATAATAGCAATAATTATCATTACTATTTTGCTATCATTATCATTATCAATATTGTTAATTTCAACAGTTATTATCATTGTTGTCATTATCATTATCATCATTTTCATCACTTCATTTATATATATATATATATATATTAAATATCATTCATATTTGTGTCATTATTATTACTACCGTTATTATTATCATTATCAATATCATTATCATTATGATGATGATGATGACTGTTATCATTGTTGTTATTTTTATGATTACTATTGCTATTATGATCATCATCTTTATCATCACTGTATTATTATTATGACCATTTTAACAAATAAATTGTTTACCCTCGTTACCCTCAATGTTTTTATTTTTATCATCATTAATGATTTCCGCAGATTCTTGTGACATATCAATATTGTTATTATTGGTATTTGATTATTGTAATTATGATAAAGATAATGATAATGATGATGGTGATAATGAACAGTATAATAGTAAGAGGAACACGAATAAAAATGAAGGATAAGAATAGTACTGATAATACTAAATGACAAAATAATAATAATGATAATAGTCAATAGATAAACAAACAAATGATGATAATAATAATAACAACAAAGATAATAGATTCATAATCAAATAATATAAAAAGGATATAATAATGATAACAATGATAATAACAATAACAATAATAAATGAACAATGAAAAATATGATGATAACAGATAATAAAAAAACATTATAACAATAATTATAGATAATAAAAAATTCAAGATGACAAATTAGCCCTAAGTAATGATAGATAAAAAAAGATAAAAATAAACTAAAAAATAAACTAGCTCTAAGCAATGATAAACAAAAAAAAAAAAATAATAGCTCTAAGCAATGGTAAACAAAAAAAAACAATAAAAGCAAATATAAACAAAAAAAAAAATAAAAAAAATAAAAAAAACTACCCCTGTATCCCACGAGACTAATGTTCAACCCTTTCGGCCCAAACAGCTGACGAGGAGAAGGCGATCGGCGCCATTCCCACGAAGCCCATCAACTCGGGTGACCTGGAGAAGATCTGCGCGGAACACCGGAAGTATCCGATTCTATATAAGGTCGAGTTCCAGGTGAGTGAAAAGGTGGTGGTGTTGGAAATATCCGATTCTTTGTAAGGTCGAGTTCCAGGTGAGTGAAAAGGTGGTGGTGGTGGAAATATCCGATTCTTTGTAAGGTCGAGTTCCAGGTGAGTGAGGTGGTGTGTTTATTATTTTCTTTTTTCTTTTTTTCTTTTTTCTTTTTTTTTGGAATTTCTATCTTGTTTCGGTTTATTCTATTTTTTCTTTCTGAGGATTTTTTTTTAGATTTTGCTTTCCTTATATTACAAATTTGATTTCCACCGACATATTCGGTGATCTGTGAATAAGACATCATTATTATTGTATTATTATTCATTATTATTATTATTATTATTATTATTATTATTATTATTATTATTATTTATATTATTATTATTATTATTATTATTGTATTCGTGTCATAAATCCTCCCGGTGTTTTTTGTTTGTTTGCAATTCATGAAGGACGACCAGATTGCACACAGGAACAACGAAGGAAGGGCAAGAAAAACACCACAGGAACAACGAGGAAGGGAAGAAACAACAGAGAAAACGAAGGGAGGCAAAAAAAACACACAGGAAACAACGAAAAAGGGCAAGAAACACACCAGGAACAACGAAGGGAAGGCAAGAAAACACACAGGAACAAGAAGGGAAGGCAAGAAAACACCACAGGAACAACGCGAAGGAAGGGCAAGAAAACACACACAAACGAAGGAAACGGGCAAGGAAGAACAAGAAAACACACAGAACAACGAAAGGCAAGAAAACACACAGGAACAACGAAGGGAAGGGCAAGAAAACACACAGGAACAACGAAGGGAAGGGCAAGAAAACACACAGGAACAACCAAGGAAAGGCAAGAAACACACAGGGAAGGGAAGGGCAAGAAAACACACAGGAACAACGAAGGGAAGGGCAAGAAAACACACAGGAACAACGAAGGGAAGGGCAAGAAAACACACAGGAACAACGAAGGGAAGGGCAAGAAAACACACAGGAACAACGAAGGGAAGGCATGAAGAAAAAACCACACAGGAACACGAAGGGAAGGGCAGAAAGGGCAAGAGGCAACACCACGAATATGCCGTTGGCCTTTTTCGCTATTGCTTCGTCAGGGCATAATACTGTATCGAAAGGATTATACTGACGAAGCAATAGCGAAAAGGCCTTCGGTATATTCGTGTGTTTTCTTGCCCTTCCCTTCGTTGTTCTTGTTGTTTTTTGGTGTTTGGTGATTGTGTATGAAGGGTGGGGGTAAGGGTGGGGGTAGGTTGTGGGGGTGTGGGGTGTAGGGGAGGGTTGGTACTTTGGTTTGGGTGATTTGTGGTGTGTGTGTGTGTGTGTGTGTGTGTGTGTGTGTGGTGTGTGTGTGTGTGTGTGTGTGTGTGTGTGGTGTGTGTGTGTGTGTGTGTGTGTGTGTGTGTGTGTGTGTGTGTGTGTTGTGTGTGCGTGTGTGTGTGTGTGTGTGTGTGTGTGTGGAGTGTGTGTGTGTAGTGTTGTGTATGTGTGTGAAATTTCTTTATTTTTCTGAAGTGGAGTTTCACCTTTTTTCTTTTCGTTTTGTTTTTGTATGTGCATTTATTTTGTTATGAAGTTTCCTGTTTTGTTTTCTACTTTGAAATTTCTTTTTTTATTTGTTTGATTGTTTTCTGTTTGGAAATTTCTTGTTTTGTTTTGTTTTCTGTGAAGTTTCTTATTTGCTATTTGTTTTCTCTTCTGGTTTCTTGTTTTCCTTTTTTTTGACGTTTTAGATTTCTTTTTGGTTTTTATTCTATTTTTATTATTATTTTTAAAATCCTGGAGTCCTGTTTGTTATCATTTATTTCCTTTTCTTTTATTTGTTTATTTTTGCACGCGTGTGTTTACTTATATAGTTTTTGTTTATCTATTTATCGTTTTGTTTTCGAGTCTTATATTCGTTTTGTTTCGTTATCTTATTTTTGTTTTTTGCCATTAATTAGCAGTGCGGTAGTAATAATGCATATAGTAATGATAGAAAAAACATGATATAATAGTAGGTCGTATTACCTTTTTTTTTTTTTTTTTTATGATGCCATTCACTCCTGAAATATGTTATTTATTTCTTATTCTTTGCTTTAGTTTTTGTTAATATTGTTTTTTCTGTTCTTCGGTGTATTATTTTTTATGAAAGATTTTTATATGCTGTTGTATTAATAGGATGATTAGAGTAACGGATGAATAAATAGAATAACTGGCAACTCTCCCGTATTCTGGAGTACTCCAATTCGGCGAGTCTCTTTTGATAATAATAATAATAATGATAATAATAATAATAATAATAATATGAAGACCGCGAATATCAATAAATGAATGGATAAAAATGTTGAACGTATGTTTTCGAAAAGCATGATTATGTAACCGTCAAGTATTAAGCGTTTACACTCTGGATTGAAGTTAAGACTTGGGGAATCGGACGACTCCAGAGTTGCCTATTTTTGCTTTTATTCGAGTTTGTGGAGCTAGTTTTTATCTTTCGCTAAAATTTACCACTTTCGTCTTTTGTCTAAGTTACATTTTTTTAAATTACTTTTCTTTAGATTTTCCTGCCCAGATTATAGCGTCAATGTTTTTTTTTTCATATTGTTTCTTGTGTGATGTATATAGCAACTATTTGTTTTGAATGAGAAGGTAAATAGTGTGGTAGTTAAATATCTATTAAAAGTTCCTATAATACAGTAACAAGATTTTTTTTAAGGAAGGGAGGGGAGGGGTACTGAAAATTAAGTATGTATTTCCACTTCGTAAATGTTGCAAATGGAGTATGAAATGATTTGATTAGATGAAAAAATGTAGGATATACTTACAAAATCTCGGTTGGCATAAGATATTTAGTCGAAAAAGTACTGAATTTAGCACTGATACTTATATGAGCATAACAAATATGTGCATACTTAAAAAATGCTGATTATATTCTTCTCTTTCTTCTTCTTCTTCTTCTTCTTCCTCTTCTTTTGGGAACAAACATTTTCTCTCACGTCATAATATATATTGCTATTCTATTCGTTATCACTACTGGCTTCTGGGCAATAGTCAAAAAAACACAAACAATTTAAGTTTAACACACCCAACTTCTCATTTAATCAAAAAAAGGACTTGAAAAACTTCAAAATCATAAAAATCACAATATCATATTAATCTAGAAATACTATCCTACAATAAAAGTAACAAGATTTTTTTTAATACTGAAAATTAAGTAGTATTTCACTTCGTAAAATGCAAATGGAGTATGAAATGATTTCGATTAGATGAAAAAGTGTAAAATTACTTATAAAATCTCGGTTGCATAAATATTTAGTCGAAAAAGTATGAATTTAGCGATGATACTTATATGAGCATAACAAATATGTCATACTAAAAATGCTGATTATATTCTTCTCTTTCTTCTTCTTCTTCTTCTTCTTGCTTCTTTTGAACAAACATTTCTTCTCACGTCATAATATAATATTTGCCATATTCTATTCGTATCACTACTGCTTCAATAGTCAATAAGAACACAAACAATTAAGTTTTAACACACCCAACTATCTCATTATCAAAAAAAGACTTGAAAAACTTCAAAAATCATCAAAAGTCACAATAAATATTAATCTAGAAAAAAATATATAATTATAAAAATATTAAGTACTTTCAAAATCATCAAAAGTCACAATAAATATCAATCTAGAAAAAAATATATATATAAAAATATTAAGTACTAAATCATTCAAAAGTCACAATAAATATTAATCTAGAAAAAAGTATAATAATTATAAAAAATATTATTACTACTCAAAATCATCAAAAGTCACAAATAAATATTAATCTAGAAAAAAAATATAATAATTATGAAAATATTAAGTACTCAAAATCATCAAAAGTCAAAAAATATAATCTAGAAAAAAATAATAATAATTATAAAAATACAAAATCATCAAAAGTCACAATAAATATAATAGAAAAAAATATAATAATTATGAATACTTCAAAACCATCAAAGTCACAATAAATATTAATCAGAAAAAATGTATAATAATTATGAAAATATTAAGTACTTCAAAATCACAAAAGTCAAAATCAAAATATAATAAATATTAATCTTAGAAAAAATATAATAATTAAAAATTAAGTACTTCAAAATCATCAAAAGACAAATAAATATTAATCTAGAAAAAAATATAATAATTATAAAAAATATTAAATATTCAAATAATAAAATCACACAGAATCTAAAAATACTAATACTTCAAAATCATCAAAAGTCTCAATAATATTAATCTAGAAAAAAATATAATAATTATAAAAATATTAAGTACTTCAAAACCATCAAAAGTCACAATAAATATAATCTAGAAAAAATATAATAATTATAAAAATATTAAGTACTTCAAAACCATCAAAAGTCACAATAAATATTAATCCAGAACAAAATATAATAATTATGAAAATAATTAAGTACTTCAAAATCATCAAAAGTCACAATAAATATTAACCTAGAAAAAAAATGTAATTTATAAAAATATTAATAATAATAATAAAACATGAGAACTGTACTGAGGACACCAACTCTCTCAAAATACCTGTAATGCCCTTTATTCGACCTGGTAAAGCCCGTAGCACGAATTATAAGCCTGAATTATTTAAGGACACGTATAGAGGCCTGTTTTAAAGGGTTGCCACTATAAGCAAAGTTCCATGGAAAGGAGAGGTGATAGGGAGAGGGGGAGAAAGAGAATAGAAAGAGAGAGAGAGAGGGAAGAGAAAAAGAAAGAGAGGGAGGGAGGGAGAAAGAGAATAGAAGAGAGAGAGAGAGGGGGGGAAGAGAAAAAGAAAGAGAGGAGGGAGGGAGAGAGAGAGAGAGAGAGAGAGAGAGAGAGAGAGAGAGATTTGAGACAGAAACAGAGAGACACAGACAAAAAAGAGGCAGACAGACAAACGGACAGAGAAGGAGAGAAATAAAGAAAGGGAGAAAGATAAGGCGGTTTGGGGTCAGAGAGAGCGATACATATTGGCAGAACAAAATTCCGAACGACTTTAAAGGCATAAAAGCAAAAGTAAAAAAAAAATGATGATAATAAATATTTTTAAAAGAATGATAATATAAAGGACAGAGAGAGAGAGAGAGAGGGGGGGGGAAAATAGATAGATAGAGAGAGAGAAAAAGAGAGAGAGAGAGAGAGAATAGATAGAAGAGAGAGAAAAAAAAAGAGAGAGAGAAGAATAGATAGATAGAGAGAGAGAGAAAAAAAAGAGACAGACAGAGAGAGAAGGAGAGAGTGAGAGACAGAGAGAGAGAGGGAATGAATAGGACAAATATCACAAATTACTATTCTGTTCTTAATTTAACAACGTGTCCGCTTTGCCAAGAATCTTTTACGCATTGATTTCCTACAGTATTTTGGAATAAAAACCAAGACCATTGAAGTTTTATTTATTCACTTATTTATTTATTTTCATTTATTAATTTTATTTTGTACAAATAGATGATGGTACGAGACGTGATTTAAAACTTTTTTTTCTAATTTATTATTCAGCATTATTATTATTTTTGTTAGTATTTCTTTTTCAATCTATTTATTTATTTTTTTCATTTTATTATTATTTATTTATGTTTTATTTATTTACTTATTACCTATTTATTTATTTATTAATTTGTTATTTACTTATTTATTTATTTTTGTTTATTTATTATTTATTTATTCATTTATTCATCGCTTTACGGAACACACTGAGAGAATGACAAAAGACAAGAAACGTTATATAATAGATATATTAGGCGTCAAACACAAGTAGTAATATCAGTATTTTAATTGGTATTGATATAATAATGGTGATAAATACAGTGATGATAAAAATAACAATGATAATAAGAACGGTGACAGGGATAATGATAATGATGAAAATGACCGTGATATTGATAATAATAATAATATGATGATGATTATTACTGTAATTATCAAAACCATAATCATTATCAATAGTAATACTTGATAATAATATGATGATGATTATTATTACTGTAATTATCAATACCATAATCATTATCAATAGTAATACTTATAAAACTGACAAGTAGAGTAAAAGTTAAATTCTATACGCTGACTAGAACCCCAGCCAGCGATATCACTTTCACAAACATGACTACGTGAGCTGTATTTAGTGAATGGGAAATGTGAATAGTATATATCCACGTCCGTAGTAGATTTAAAAGGATTGAACACCATTCCGTGACGTTTCAGGTCCTCTATGAATGCCTATACAAGTTCTCTATTATCTTAGATCACGTTGTTGTATATATAATCTTTGGATACGTAAAGATTCACTAAATAAGGACAAAACTGTTTACAATAATTCACTAATGTATATGTTTTACTAATTCAAATTCAAAATACTTTATTCCATTTGTTACAAAAGTTATTTATATTACATGAATAATGATATTACAGTACGTATAGATATTATAAGTTAAACATACAACCAATTATAGTATATATTAAGTCATGTCTATTCTCATATTTTGAAACCTGATGCCATTGGTGATTTAAGAGATGTTTCTTTAATTTCTTTTTGAACGTATTTGAGTTCTGAATGTTTCTTACATTACAAGGTAGTTGGTTGGAGAGAGGTTCGAATCGCTTAAAGTTATGTATAGATGCTTTGAGTGCGTGAGTACAGGCTGTGGGATATGTAAAAGTATTATAGACTTTATACTGTATGTTTAGACTTTAAATGGCTTTATGATTGTGTGCGTGGTTGTATTATCTCTCTGTGTGTTTCTATCTGTCTGTCTGTCTGTCTTTCTATATATCTGCATTGCTCTCTCTCTCTCTCTCTCTCTCTCTCTCTCTCTCTCTCTCTCTTCTCTCTCTCTCTCTCTCTCTCTCTCTCTCTCTCTCTCTCTCTCTCTCTCTTTCTCTCTCTCTCTTTTCTCTCTCTCTCTTTCTCTCTCGTCTCTCTCTCTCTCTCTCTCTCTCTCTCTCTCTCTCTCTCTCTCTCTCTCTCCTCTCTCTCTCTCTCTCTCTCTCTCTTCTCTCTCTCTCACACACATACACACAGACACACATTGCATGCAGAGATAGATAGATGATAGACACAGATAGAGAAAGAGAGAGGAGAGAGAGAGAGAGAGTGAGAGAAGGAGAGAGAGAAGAGAGAGAGAGAGAGAGAGAGAGAGAGAGAGAGAGAGAGAGAGAGAGAGAGAGGGAGAGAGAGAGTACACATATATACGGAAATAGATAGGTGAATAGACAGATAGTCAAGATGGTAGATAGATAGACAGAAAGATAGACAAAAACATAGACAGATACATGGACATAAAGACAGACAGAAAGAAAGAATGAAAGACAGATACATGGATAGAAAGGGAGACAAACAGACAGACAGACAGAAAGAATGAAAGAAACACAGATACATGGATAAACAGAACATACACACAGACACAGACAGACACACACACAGACACACACACACACACACAGACAGACAGACACACAGACACACACACACACACACACAGACAGACAGACACACACACACAGACACACAGACAGGACACACAGACAGACCCGCGTTGAGATCCGAAATCCCTGAATCGGGGAAGGAAAGCGCCAAGCCAAATCCTGCGGGAGCCTCATCCTTCGCCAGCACCTCGCTCGGGGTTTTCTCAGGCGTGAAAATCGGCTCAGGTGTAAGTGTGAATAAAAGACGAATAGAGAGATAAAGAGAGAGGTAAATCGAGAGATAAATAAAGAAGAGATTAAAAAAGCGGGAAGGGTTTTATCCTATTGGGTTATGGTTTTGAGGGGAAGGTGGGTCGGGGAATTCGAATTTTGGTTAACGGGGATTCCGACTTCGGATCTGCGGCTGATGGACAGGGAGAGAATGACCGCGAGATAAACTTTCGCAGAATGTGTGTTGTGTGGGGGGGGGGGTCGTGTGTGTGGGGCGGGTTTGTGCTGTGTGTGTGGGGGTTGTGTGGTGTTGTGATGCTATGTGTTTTTGTGTGTGTGTGGGTGTGTGGTTGTTTGTGATGTGTGTGTGTGTGTGTGTGTGTGTGTGTGTGTGTGTGTGTGTGTGTGGGTTTGTGACAAACAAAACCACACACACACACACACTCACATATATAGATAGATATAGATATAGATATAGATAGATATAGATAGATAGATATAGATATAGATAGATATAATATCTAATATATATATGATAGAAGATAGATAAATATATATAAATGATAAGTTCCCTGGACACGCCCCCTAACCCCGCCCTCCTCCCGCAGATGGCGACGAAGGTGGAGTGCCACTCGATGCGTCACGCCCTCAAGGAGTCCAACGAACTCAAGAACCAGAACAAGAGGGTGCTTCCGTGTAAGTGAACAAAGTCCCCAAAATGAACAACTTTCCCGCATGTATTAACCCCGTTGCAATGGCCTTATTTTTTTATGTTATTTTATGTTATTTTATTATTTATTTTTAGTTCCTCTGCAGCGCCGTCCTGCATCGGGGAAGTAAGATTGTTAAAGAGATTATTAAAGTCGGTTTAAAGGCCCGGTTGGTGTTCAATTTTTTTTTATTGTCACGTGATCGGTTGTGTACAAATGCTGGATTTTTTTTTTTTTTTTTTTTTTTTTTTTTTTTTTTTTACGGATATGAAGCACGTTTGTTGGATAGTTGTTTTGTTGTTATTGCGTTTTCTTTGTGTTTTTGGTGTGTGTACATAATCGTAAATACCGTATGATAATCCTTCTTAGGTCTATTTATTTATTTATTCGTTTTCATTTCTCTCCTCTCTTCTCGTCTCTTTTTTCTCATTTCTTTCTTTTCACTCTCTCCTGTCTCTGTTTCTCTCTCTCTCTCTCTCTCTCTCTCTTCTCTCTCTTCTCTCTCTCTCTCTCTCTCTCTCTCTCTCTCTCTCTCTCTCTCTCTCTCTCTCTCTTTTTTCTCATTCATCTCTCTCTCTTCCTCTCTCTCTCTCTCTCTCTCTCTCTCTCTCTCTCTCTCTCTCTCTCTCTCTTCTCTCTCTCTCTTCTATCTCTCTCTCTCTCTCTCTCTATCTCTCTCTTCGCTCTCTTTTTTCATTTTTTATTTATCATTTTCATTCTCTCTCTCTCTCTCTCTCTCTCTCTCTCTCTCTCTCTCTCTCTCTCTCTCTCTCTCTCTCTCTCTCTCTCTCTCTCTCCTCTCTTCTTTTGCACAAGAACTTCTATTTAGTTTTGTCTGTAGTCGTCTTTTCCTCAGTCATTTCCCGACATCATTCCATCCTTTGGTATTGATCTTCACCTCTTCCTTAAGTACTGCTTTTTGGCGCCCAGTCAGTGCTCCAATTTTATGCGTTGTGGCCTCTTCCTTTGCCGTTTTGTCTCTTCCTTTCCTGCTTTAATGGACTCTTCCAACGTTACTCTTTACTGCTTTCCTGGTTACTATTTACTGACCTTCCAGCTTACTAGTATTACTCTTCCAGCGTTTCTTAGTTACTTGTTTGGTACATTACTTCTTTCACTTTATTTTGCTTTCCAACGTTCTATTTTACTGCTTTCCAACGTTACTATTATTACTGTTTTCAACGTTACTATTATTAATTGCTTTCCAACGTTACTATTATTTACTGTTCCTACTTTCTACTGTCTTCCAACGTTACTATTTTGCTTTCACGTTACTATTATACTGTCTTTCAACGTTACTATTTTATTGCTTTCCAACGTTACTATTATTACTGTCTTCCAGCGTTATATGTTACTGCTTCCAGCGTACTATTTTACTGCTTTCCAACTACTTTATTCTTTCATTGGCTTCCAAGTTATATTATTACTGTCTTTCAAACGTTACTATTATTATTGCTTATCCAACGTACTATTCTTACTGTCTTCCAGCGTTACTATTCTTACTGTCTTCCAGCGTACCATTTACTGCTTTCAACGTTACTATTTTTACTGCCTTTTCAACGTTACTATTATTACTGCTTTCCAACGTTACATATTTTTACTGCTTTCCACGTTACTATTATTACTGCCTTCCAACGTTACATACTGTCTTTCAACGTTACTATTGCTTTCCAACTATTTTTTACTGTTTCCAACGTTACTATTATTACTGTCTTTCAACGTTGCTATTGTTACTGTCTTCCAACGTTACTATTCTTACTCTTCCAGCGTTACTATTATTACTGCCTTCCAGCGTTACTATTCTTCTCTACGAGGAAAGATAAAAATGTTCCACTATTTTCAAGTAAAAAGAGAAAGAGGTCTGATAATATAGCAAGATATTACCCCCATTAGAGGCTATAAAGATATAAACTGCAAAGTTCAGGTCAAGAATTCATTGCACAAACATGTCTTTGCAATATTTCCAGGAAGGGAAGTGGAAGGGGGAGGGGGGGGGGGGGGGAGAGGAAGGGAGGGTGAGAAAAAAAAAGAAAAGAAGAAAAAGGAAGAGTGAAGAAAAGGAGAAAGTCATTTGTTTGTTCATTCTGGTAACGTGTTCTTCTCGGATTCATAGTTGTATAAATTAATTCAACGGTCATCTATTTACTCAATCAACATTTATTAATTCAATTATTAATTCCTCATTAAAAAAAGTTAGTCATTCACCCTTTGTGGAAGTATTAATCAACATTTGTTTAACTTCACTAAACATTAAACAATTATTCACTCAACGTTTGTAAAATTATTTATTCAACACTGAAATTATTTATTCAACACTGAAATTATTTATTCAATATTCATTCATTCAACATTTAACACTTATTTATTCATTTATGGAATTACTCACGTTCAACAATTGTTCACACATCTCTAAAATGTTACTTTTTACATTCAAAAGTCACTCAACTCAAGAATTGCAGAATTACCCAATCCCATTCAATATCTATTACAGTGCCCTTAATAGACAGAGTATTTATATTTTTATTTATTATTTATTTATTTTATTATTATTTTATTTTTTTTTTTATTTTTTTTTTTTTTTTTTTTTTTTTTTTTTTTTTTTTTTTTGTAAAAGGCACCAGCCTTGTCCAAACTACGATGACCATTAAATCAACTAATTAAAGACAGGTAACGGTCATTAAAGAGAATAGCGTCCATTAAGAACCAACGGCTTTTAATAGCTCCCCATAAGCTGAATACATTATTGGTATCATGTGTTTATACAGAATACAGTAATATTCACGCGAATCCCATGCTGTTTATGATTCGCTGTTTGCGATGATAATTCTGTGCGTTTCGGATGTGCAGTGTTATCTTTGAATATATCAATCGAAGCATTTCATACTCAGAGGTCTGGGTATCCTGCTGGATTGGTATGCTGGGTACCAAATGCTTCGATTGGTCCCATTGAATAATTTTTTTTTTTTTTTTTTTTTTTTAGTTTATTTGGAATATCAGTATAAGATTTGGACTGTTTTGATTGTACCTCTGCCAATTACTTTTTTTTTTTTTTTTTTTTTTTTACTCCAATATAGATATAGAACATTCTTAAAGTATAGTTATCTATCAATCACGTGTAATATGAATATTCTTATATATACTATCTCATACTTATCATGACGATACGACCACTTAACGGATATTCACATCTTTATTACAGATTATAAGTAGCTATATATAATATGTATCTAGTGGTGAATTTCGTTTAATAAAAACTAATCTAAAAGCATAGTTATATCAGATAAGAAAGGGGGATACAGGTGCAAATCAATGATTGTAATAATAATGACTTTAATCATAATGATGCTAACAATGGTGATGATAATAATGATAATGATGAAGTGAGAATGATAATAATGATGATTAAGATGAAAATATTGGCAATGACAATAATAATGGTGATAATGATAATAATCATGATAATGAAAATAGTAATAACAGCATCAGCAGTAATAGCAGTGGTATCAGCAGTGGCAGTAGTAGTAGTAATGATATTTTTCCTTTTCTTACGTTCTCAGACGAAAAAAAATCCTTATTGTCCACGACATGTTACTAGAGGAACAAACAGCAGTAATAACCATAGCAATAGTGATTATTTCCAAAAATTCCACAACCCCCAGATTCATATAACAAAATCAAAATCATGGAATCGCTGTTATATCTAAGGATATCATTAATAGAGGATAATTAGCTCTCCCTGGATATGACAAAAGATAATACAGGTGGCTGCAATCGGATAACCTTGTAGTTTAGGGAAAATAACTAGTATTTTGTCAGGCTTCATCGATGTTGGTAGATAAAGTTGATGACAATACATACACACACACACATACAGACACACACACACACGCATACAGACACACACACACACACACAGACACACACACACATACAGACACACACACACACACATAGGTACTCATTTAGGTATGTACATAACGTGTCTGAAGTATTTAGAATCCTTATAACACCATAACT